CTGCTCACCGCCTCCCTCGCAGGTATTCCTCGCAAATGATCGACCTGGAGCACAAGCTGAAGCCTTTCATCCCAGACTTCATTCCCGCCGTGGGAGACATCGATGCCTTCCTGAAGGTGTGGAGAAGCCTTTGTCCTGCCCACCTGTTGCCTTGGTGGGGGGGGTGTCCCGCCGGGCCCCTTCCCGGAGCTCTTACTGCTGGGCCTGCGGGCACTGCTTCAAAGGCAGGGAGGGCACCGTGTGTTCGCCGGGGTAGCTCAGGGACACGTGGTCTGTCCCCTTGGGGCAGGGAGGCCTCGCCAGGAAACAAGAGACGTCGCTGTGGCTCGTTTCTTGCAGGTTCCGCGCCCGGATGGGAACCCGGATACCCTGGGCTTGTTGGTGCTGGATGAGCCCTCCACCAAACAATCGGACCCCACCGTGCTTTCCCTGTGGCTTACGGAGAACTCCAAGCAGCACAATGTGGCCGTAAGCGGAGGGTGGAAGGAAAGGGCGGGCGGGCGGGCGGCCCAGTAGGGCCAAACCGTTGATGGGGGCGGTTTGCATTTCTAGCAGCAGGTGAAAGTAAAGAGCCTTGAGAACGCAGAGAAGAACCCCAAAGCTGTTGACAGCTGGATCGAGAGCATCAGCGAACTTCACCGTTGCAAGCCTCCAGCCACCGTCCATTATGCCAGGTCTTCCTTTGGGTCCCTAAGAGCAGCTCCTTGAGGCTCCCCTTTTCTCCTTTTTACCACAGCAGTCCCCCACGGGGGAATGTTCCCATGAGGGCCTCCTGGTGGCCAGTTCTCAGGGCTGCTGCCCACTGCTTTTCCTTTGCAGGCTGATGCCGGACATAGATACGCTGATGCAAGAATGGTCTCCAGAGTTTGAAGAGTTACTGGGAAAGGTATAGTGATCTCCCCAGTGGATAAGTTCTGCCCATCCCATCCTATAACTGGTTTCTCTGGGGGTTTCCAGCAGGCTTATGGGAGCTGCTTCTGCAGAAAGCAAGGTCAGCCCTAAGCCTTCCCTCTCTGGCCCCCAGGTGAGCCTTCCCACTGCAGACCTCAGCTGCAGCTTAGCCGAATACACAGACATGATCTGCGGTGAGTGTCCTGACCCAGCGCTGAACATGGGGATATTTGCTCATCTCTGGATTGAGACGAGAGCTCTAGGGCCAGGCATCTCGTAGTCAGATCGTCTAGTGCCTGTCCATTCTCTGGGTTCTGCTTGATGGAGTTGGACCGGGAGCTTTCTTGGTTAAAAGGCTTCTCTTTTGGGGGTTTTCTCCAGCCATTCTGGACATTCCTGTCTACAAGGGCCACATCCAGCCTCTACACACCCTGTTCTCCCTCTACTCTGAGTTCAAAAATTCGCAGGTAGGTGAGATTGCTGCTGCTGCTGCTATCATCCACAAGGCGTGGAGCAGCTCTTCTCCACCTGTTTCCGCCAGGAGACTCAAGAAAGAACCTTCCGTAAGCCTGAAGCCAGATTCCCTATTGGGTGGTTTCTCCCCTTCTTGCAGCATTTCAAGGCCCTGGCTGAGGGCAAGAAGGTTGCAAGCCCGCCCTCCAATCCACCCTCGCAGGCTGGAGAGACAGACCTTCCAAGCTTCACCTGAGGGACGGAGGTCACTTTACCTGGGGAAAAGCTTCCTGGTTCCTGGGGCTTAGAGGCACTGTTAACGCCAAGGGTCTTTAATGGAGCACAGCTCCCGCTGGATTTCCAGCACCTGATTCCTTGGAAGTTGCTGGGCTGGCTTTCAGGTGACCTTCATTGTAAGTTTCTGGAAGAAATGTTGTGCAATAAAGTTTTGCTATAAGTGTTCTGTCTTTCAAGGGGAGAGGGTGCTGGCCGTGCAAACCGAGAGTTGTTTCTGTCAGGAAAGGGGCCGTGGGGCCTTGCATCTTGTTGCCAGGTCGCAGCTGCCAGCCCCGCTTAACCCCGGTGGTTTTGGGCTTTGCCGAGCTATTATAAGGGCTGCCTCGTGAAACTGATGCTGGTTTGGGGGCCTGCTCTGCCTTCTAGCTGCAACCCATTTCAGCATGCCTGGCCAGACCGGTCAGTGGGCGGCACCTTCTGAGTACGCGTATGTGGCTTTTTTGGATTTTGGGTTTATTAGGCTCCTTTTAAACCCAAAGAGTACCTTCTTTGCCAGAGCAACATCCCAGCAAAATCCAGGCAGGGGTAAGGAAAGGGCAACACCTTAATCGCAGCAGTTTATTCGTTAAGCTTAGAAGCTGTGAAGCTACAGTCCTTGGCTAAGAGAGCAGAGACTTGAGCGGTGATAGCAAAGCTGGGGTTAGGAACAAGATCCTCGTGTTGGACGGAGAAATGGGGTAGCTGGTGGGTGCCTGTTCTGCTGGGAATGGGGAAAAGATGAAAATGACCGTCCCTGTGAAGAGCAGCCCGTCTTCCCAGGACCCCATTGGGGGCGCTTTGTTCTTGGCCACTAGGGGCACCCTCGCAGTCCTGTTCCACCACTAAGAGCAGAGGCACTCCTCGCCCCATTCCCCCCACCACCTCTGCCGCTCTGCACTGCAGGTGGATGTGGTGACAGAGTTCAGAGCCAGATTTCATCGCTACTCGTGCTAGGGGCTCTGTAGATATATCCAACTGTGAGAAATCGGCCAACGCCTGCAGAAGCAGAGAAAAAGGATGCAAAATTTGGTCCAGAGCAATTACTTTTGGAGGATTTTTGAGAGCCGTAGGTTTCTTCGAGGCTCTCTGTGAGCATGCAGACCTGGGTTGGTCTTAAGTCCTAAGCAAACGCAGCTGCTATAAGGTAGTGAACAGGCATAAGTGGGTGTCTTTCGCACAAGACCAATGGCAGCTTGCTCCCTCCAGCGTCACCAGGTGGTGGTGGAAAGGGTGCTGTGGCCCTCTGGGGCTGCCTTTGGCCAAAGCATCCAGGGGCTGCTGTCTGATACAAAGCTGGGCTGGGTGAGCTGGATCCAGCCTCTAAGGCTGCGCTTGCAAAAGCGTCTCCCGCTAGCAAAGCTGGGAAGAAGCCCTAAAAAAGCACCTGGAGCTGACATGAATCCTGGTGCTGCCTAGTCTCAGGCCTCCAAGGGTGGCGGTGCACAACAGTCTCCCCAGCGCAAGTGAGAGCGAACTGCCCCCTGAAAAGGTTCCCAGGAATTGGCAGCTTTTCCTGCTACATGATTGCGCTTTGGGACTGTCGAGTGCTTCTGTTTCCTATTTGTTTCGGAGCTAAGCTGAGAGAGGCTTGCTTGATACAGCTCCCCCTCCCTTGGCATGGCAGAAGGTCCCCCTACCTTGCTCAGCAAGGGCCAGGTGGTTTTCTGGCTCCAAAAAGACCTCTTCATCTTGCTCTGCAGGAGCACCATTTTCCTTACCTTTGGGGTAGAGGGAAAGAGGGCTGGAGCAATTGTTTGTGCCTTGGCATGATGCCTCCCCTTTCCCAGCTGCAGCAAGGAAAGCTTTCTCCCACTCCCCCCCCCATGGCATCCTTGCCACTCACTTTTTGGTTCTGGTGTGAGATCATTGAGTTGCAGGTTGGAAGGGAGGGACCTTTTTGCCCGTGGCAGATGGGTTTCCTTTGGCTGCAGGACGTTGCTGTGGGGAGGGCAAAGCAATTGGTGATTGGGCCACCTCCCCAAGGGTGCTTCAAGCCAAGGCTGCGGTTCCTGGGGTTTTATCTCTTTCTCTGACCCTCAGAGAACCCTTTGGAGAATGCTGACCAGAGCATCAGTCTGTAAGGGTGGGCTTATGCCACCACAGTCGGTGGGTCTGTGCAAACTACTCCCCAAAGAGCACAGAGCAGCCAAGGGGCTTTTATCGCCCTCTAGCATCCCAGAAGGTTACCTCAAAGGGATACGTGTTGCTGGGTCACATCCTAAAGAAGAAGAAAAAGGAAGGTGTTAGGTCCCCAGCAAGTAGGCCCAACCAAGGCTGGGAAGGGCTGCCAGTTTCTCCTGCACTCACCTGCTGACCTCTTGATCTTCCAGGAAACAGTCCAGCTGATGAGCACCCCAAAACTCAGGAGTATCACCAGAGCCACAGCAGCTGCCCCCACCAGGGCCAGGAGAGGCAGTTCAAGCCGTGTGGCCAAGATACCTAGGGAAGCCAGAGATGCCAGTCAGCAGGCCAGGATCTCACCTGTCCCTCCACTCTGTTGAAACCTGCCTTATCCACTAAAGGAAGCTGCTCTCCTCCTGGTTAGCCAGAGTGTGGAACTTTTGCTGGTTCTCCCCGATGATTCAGCGTGACCCTAGCCCAGTGTTGCCCTATGGCTGCTGACGCTGCACAAAGGCCTGCACTTGGTTCGAACCAGCCTCTCCAAGGCAAGGCTCCAAGGGATTTTGCCAGGGCAATCAAGAGGCTTTTGGGCTGAGGAGAGGCTTGAACTCCGCCTGCTTCAAGCCAAGGGCAGGGGAAGGCAGCCTGGGGGGGTCAGAGGGCTGCAGCTGGCTATTGGGGATGCAGGCACGCCCTGGGTGGCAGGGAGACAGAGGCTCCCTTGCGGGGCTGAATTCAATCAAGGCCACTAAGGGAAGGAACTTGGGGATCCCGTGACTTCCACCTCTGGGACTGATGAAGTGGGCTGGTTCTTCACCAAACTCATTCCCTGCAGTTTTTGTTCTGCTGAGAAGTTGCACCAGATTGCCAGCCTGCGCCAGCCCCTGCCCCCAGGCCCATGAGCCCTGTCCAGCCCTACCCGGGGGCGGAACAGAGGAGCTGGCAACGCCCAGGTCGTTGGAGGCATGGAGGGAGGCGTTCCGGGGCGGGCCGTGCAGCTGCACCCTCACGGTGTGGTTGGCGAGCCAGGGGTAGGCCTGGGCATCCAGCAGCAGGAAGCTGGAGGTGTTGACCGTCACCTGCCCGTCCTGGTCCACCCAGGTAATGTCAGCCGGCGGGTTGGCTTGGACCAGCACGAAGAGCACCAGCAGGAGGCCGGGCTCCCTCGCCTCGCGATAATGGGCGTCCACCTTCACGATTTCGGGCTGAACTGCATTGGCGCGAGAGAGGCGAGGCCGCAGCCGCACCGGTCAGCTGCTCGCCGG